AGAGAGAGAGAGAGAGAGAGAGAGTGAGAGAGAGAGAGAGAGAGAGAGAGAGAGAGAGAGAGAGAGAGAGAGAGACAAACACAGAGAATCTCTTCTTCAGTGCTTTCTTCACTGGTCACAGACTGTAGAGCCCGTCTTTGGAGACCCAAGTGGCTGAGGCACTGAGGGGTAGATAAGGGGGGTGCTTAGCAGAGGGGGAAAGAGGGAGAGAGAGAGAGAGAGAGAGAGAGAGAGAGAGAGAGAGAGAGAGAGAGAGAGAGAGAGAGAGAGAAACCCGAACTGAACGATCTGAGACCAGCAGCGTTTACGTCTGTTGTTATGAAATGTTTAGAAAACTATTTTGAAAAGACTGCGAACATACATTTAGCCTGTCCAGGACCCTCTACAATGTTCATACCGCCATAGTGCAAGACAACATTTTATTTATTTCTTGTCAACGTTTACAGACATACACAGACAAACTAAAATCATACTGTAGGATCGTGTTCCAGTGGTTGTCGACTTTCAGTGTTTTCGAAACTAATACGGGGTTCCCACTGCGGCTGGATCGGGCCGATCGGCTGATCCCATCCGTAGTGGGCACCCTGTATATCATTTCAAAAAAATAAACTATAAACATGGGGGCTCTTGTGGCCTAGAGGTTAAGTTATTCTCCTCTAATTCAAAGGTTTCGGGTTCGAATCCAGGTAATGATGAAAACATTTTCTTCTCTGAAATCGTCTCTTTTCACCTCCTTTCCTGATCTCAAGCAATGTTCTGTCATCTGCTTTCGTCTCCTCTTTCTGCCCACATCTCTCACCTCCTTAATTGCCCCCTCCTCTGGGCTCCTGGTTCTTTCTTTCCGCAGCCTTTCTACTGCTACTCCTTGGCTCCTCCTTCTTACTGCTCTTTTTCAGCCATACCCATGACCTTCTGGTAGAAAAGATCTAAACCTAGCTTTCTCGGACAAGGGCGACAAATCTCGGAGGTCCCGTGTGCAAGTAGCACACGTTAATGATCCCTTGGTGGTCCAAAATCGATCAAATAGGCTTCGGCCACCACCCGGGCAAAATTCAAAATTCCGCCTGCTCAAGGCCTTACACAGGTGCGAGCGCCGTAAAACACTTAGCCCCCCCAAAAAAAACAAACAACAACAACAACAAAAAAACACAAAAAAACATCAACCCCCCCCTCCCCCAGTAAACGTCAATTTAACATCGTGGATACGGAACTTTTTGACAAATTGTACTATATACGACGCACATTATAACGAACGAAACTGCGTAAATACGAGGGGCAGAAATCTCATAAATAAGTCTTGCTGTTCTTGGGAGCTAATGAACGGGAGTTGTAACTTTTGCACGGGTGCATGCAATGATTCTATTCGTATAAATCTTTGACAACGTACATTCTAGTCATGCTACAACACTTTAAGAAAAAAGAAAAGAGAAAGATATTTATTATGTGGGAAACATGATTTTCGGTCCTTTTAATATACAAGAAAATGTTGGGGGGGGGG